TCTGACTTATTGCACTTACCTTAATATCCTCTAGGTCTATTCATGCTATCACAAAAGTTAAGACTTCATTTTTTTCATGGCTGAATAATATTCCATTTTTTACCCACCTGTCTATTGATGGGCACTTGTGTTGCTCCCATATCTTTGTTACTGTAAATAATGCTGCAATGAATATAAAGGTACATACATTCTTTCAAATTAATGTTTTGGTTTTCTTTGGATATATTCCCAAAAGTGGAATCATGGGGTCATAAGGCAATTCCATTTTTACTTTTTTGAGGGACCTCCACACTGATCAACATTCCTACCAGCAGTACATGAAGCTTCCATTTTCTCTACATCCTCGCCAACACTTGTTTATTGATTTATTGATGATAGCCATTCTGACAGATGTGAGGTGGTATCTCATTGTGGTTTTGATTTACATTTCTCTGATGATTAGTGATGTTGAGCAACTTTTCATATTTCTGTTGGCCATCAGTATGTCTTCTTTGGAGAAATATCTGTTTAGGTCTTCTGCCCACTTTTTAATTGGATTGTTTGTTTTTCTGGTGTTGTATTGTCTGAGTTCTTTATAAATTTTGGATATTAACCCCTTATCAGATATATTGTTGGCAAATATCTTCTTCCATTCAGTAGGTTGTCTTTAGATTTTGGTAATGATTTCCCTTGCTGTGTAAAAACTTTTTATTTTGATATAGTCCTATTTGTTTATTTGTTTATTTCCCTTACCCAAGAAGATATGTCAGAAAAAATATTGCTAAGAGAAATATGACAGATTTTACTGCCTATGTTTTCTTCCAGGAGTTTTATGGTTATAGGTCTTACCATTTAAGTCTTTAATCTATTTTGAGTTTATTCTTCATATAGTGTAATATGGTGGTCTAGTTTCTTTTTTTGCATGTATCTGTCCAATTCCTCCACCACTATTCATTGAACAGACTTTATTTACCCTATTGTATATTCTTGCTTCCTTTGTTATAGATTAATTGAACATATAGGCATATTATTTTTTAATTTTAAATATTTTATTTATTTATTTTTAGACAGAGGGTAAGGGAGGGAGAAAGAGAGAGAGAGAGAAACATTAATGTGTGGTTGCCTATTGAGTGCCCCCTACTGAGGACCTGGACCACAACCCAGGCATGTGCCCTTACTGGGAATTGAACCATGACACTTTGATTTGCAGGCCAGTGCTCAGTCCAATGAGCCACACCAGCCAGGATAGACATGAAATTATTTCTGAGCTCTCTATTCTGTTTCATTGATATATGTGTGTTTTTATGACAGTACCATATTGTTTTGATTACTATAGCCTTGTAGTATAATTTGATATCAGGTAATATCATACCCCCTATCATGTTATTTTTCAAGGTTTCTGTTGCTATTTGGAGTCTTCTGTGTTTTCATACAGATTTTTGGATTATTTATTTTAGTTCTGTGAAATATGCCAATGGTATTTTGACACGAATTGTGTTGAATCATAACAGATACTTCTTGAATGAATTATTCATTCCATGGTAATTACTAAAATATGTGGTAGAAAAGGCTCAATTTATGGGCCTGTAGAACCTTAAGTGTTTTTTCATCAGAATAGAAGGTATTGATTAATATACACTAATAATAATAAAATGTTGATGAAAAATATGGTTAACATAGGGAATTGATTCCTTTAGTTAGTATTTATTTGTCAAGCACTTGTGTTTAATATGTCCCAATTCATGTTCCTATCACTTTAGAAATTTTACCTCATTATAATTCTCACAACAATTGTATGAGGTAGCCCTAGAATTTACCACTATTTTATATATGAGGAAAATGAGACATGGAGTTTTTAAGTAGCCTTGTTGATTCCCATAGCTAGGAAGTGGCATCACCCACATTTGAACCCAATCAGTCCACCTCCAGATATAGGCTTTTAATTACCTCAGTCTGTTGTCTCTCAACATAAGCAGTCATGTAATAAGTGGGGCAAGTTGATTCCTTCTATTTTTAAAGCATGAATTTCTTTTATATTCTCAATCAACTTCAAACAGAATGCATAAGTAGATAGTAATATTAATACTCAAAGGTGAATTCTTTGTTGTATATTGGTTAATTGTATGCAGAAATCACTTCTTCCAAAGCTTGAATGAATGATAGTGACAATTTCATAGTAAATGGTCATATGGAAAGTAGTTTTAGATAAAAATTTGTTGGAATTCACATTTTTAAAGTTTTGAAAAATTTACAGTAATAAATCTTTAACAAAGCTTATGATAATTTTGAATAAAATTGGAAAGTAAATACTATATATGGTAGAAATCACTTTAAGTCAGAAAGTACAAAGAAGGGTATCAAAGGACACTACAAAGAGAGTAAAAAGAGAGCTTACAGAATGAGAGACTATATTTGCAAAGTGTATATCTGATAAAAATATTAATATCCAGAATATATAGGAAACTGCTAATATTCAACAAAACCCCCCCCCACAAACAACCTGAATCAAAAATGGCCAAAAATTCAAATGGACATTTCTCTGAAGAAGTTGTAAAAGTGGGCAATAAGTACATGAAGAGATGCTCAATATCACTAGTCATTAGGTACATACAAATCAAACCACAGTGAGATAACACTTCATATACATTAGGATAGCTATTATTAAAAAACAGCAAAAAATAACAAGTGTTGATGAGAATGCAGAGAAATTGGAACCCTTGTGCTTTGCTGGTGAGAATGTACAATGGTGCAGCCATTGTGGAAAACAGTTTGGTGGTTCTTAAAAATTAAACATAAAATTACCATTTGATTCAACAATTCCACTCAAAAGTATACACTAAAAAGAATTGAAAGCTGGGAATCAGATTGATACATGTACACCAATGTTCATAGCAGAATTATTCATTATAACCAAAAGGTAGAAACAACCTAAATGTCTATCAATGGATGAGTGGACAAACGCAATATTGTATACGAGGTCTATCTGGAAAAAGTCCAGCCATTGTTAATATAATGAGAATGATTTGCGCAATGTTGGCATAACCTGGCAGCCAAGGAGAGTGGACTGGAATGAGCATGTGTAAACAATGATGACTTCGTTGTGCTAGTCAGTGGGTGTGGTAGATGCCATTGAGTGAGCATGTGTACTGTGTGGCTGTTGCATTGAAAATGACTGAGTAGAAGAACGAAGCTGCATCAAATTTTGCATTAAGCTTGAACATTCCTCCGTGGAAACTACCTGGATGGTTCAGAAGGCTGCAGCCATGGGCAACTGGTGATTTGCAATTTCATTACAAAAATGTGCCCGTTCATGCTTCACATGTCATGCAGAGTTTTTTGACAAAATATCAAATCACCCAGGTGATTCAGCCCCCCTACAGCCTAGATGTGGTGCCCTGGGACTTCTGGCTTTCCTCAAAACTAAAATCACCTTTGAAAAGGAAGAGCATCAGACCGTTGATGAGATTCAGGAAAATACAACAGGGTAGCTGATAGCAATTGGGAGAACTGTGTGAAGTCCCGAGGTGCATACTTTGAAGAAGGCTTAGGTGTCATTGTCCTATGTACAATGTTCCTTGTATCTTGTATTTTCTTTAATAAATGCCTCTATTTTTCATATTACGTGGCTGGATACCTTCTGGAAAGAAATCATATGCGCAAACACACACACACCATAGAATATTATTGATCTTAAAAAGGTAATGAAATTCTGATACATGCTATGACAGAAGAGTGTTAAAAACATGGTATGAAATAAGCAAGACAAGAAAGGACAAATATTATATGAGTCCATTTATATGAGATATCTACAGTAGACAAACTTAGAGAGACAGAAAGTAGAATAGAGGTTACCAGGGGCAAGGGGAAATGGGGAGTTAGTGTTTAATTTACAGATTATCTGTTAGTGAGGATGAACTTCTGGAAATGATAGTGGGTGATGGTTACACAATTTTGTGACTGTACTTAATGCCATTAAATTGTACATCTAAAAATGGTTAAAATAATAAAGTTTATTATATATATTTTAAAATAAAAATGTTTAAAACAGTTAAAAACAAAACAAAGAAGATAAGATTAATCAGGGCAACAAGAAATCTTTACTATGACTGAAATGGACCCAAAGGCTCAGTTTGTAGATACTTGTTTTTAAAGAAACAAAGCTGAGATTTTAAATATCAGTTTTAAAATTAATTTTTAAAAAATTCTCACCTGAGGATATGTTTATTTATTTTTCAGAGAGAGAGAGTAATGGGGGGAGAAAGAGAGAGAGAGACATTGATGTGAGAGAGAAACATTGATTGGTTGCCTCCCATACACACCCCAACCAGGGATAGAATCCACAGTTTAGCTATGTGCCCTGACTGGGAATGAAACCCACAGCCTTCTGGTGTACAGGATGACACTCCAACCAAATGAACAACCTGGCCAGGGCAAGATGTTAAATATCTTTAAAAACAGAAGACTATAAGTTATATATGTAAAATGAGAATGAATGGGTAATTTTTTGGTCTTTGGGAATTTTATATTTCATTCCTAATTGATATATGCAGTTGGTATGCAACATCAAAGTAATCAGGCCTATGTTGCATTGAAAGGAATAAAAGAAAAAGCTGTGATTATTTAGAGGCTATTTAATAATCTCCATCTGATTTTTAGTTTCCTAAGAGTAGGAGCTGCATTAACTCTATGTGTAGTTCTATTCCTTGCCACTTGGTAAACCCTGATCTGTTTTTTGAATGAATAATTGTGGCAGGATCAGCATAACTGTATTGCAGTGCAGGTATTAGCAACAATGTCTCCAGCATGGCACTGGAACAAGAAAAATAGAAAAGGAACTCAAAGCTATAAAGTTGGGGGAGGGGGAGAATTGTAAACGTTTGTAAATTAAATTTCAAAATAGTTTCACACTAGCTTATCAGTTTGTGTAGACTAAGTTGTTTTATAAATATTAGAGTATAGTATATGAATTATTTTTAATATTAGATAGATCTTGCTGGTCCTTCAGTGGAGACCCCAATGAGGTCATTAGCTGCTCCCTGGAGACCTTGTGTATCTGATATTATAGCAACTGTTCAGACTGCTGTAATTCATGGCTTCTAAATTTTCATGCATTTGCTCACCAAGGATCAATCACTAAGGATTCCTAATGGACAGGCAGGAAAGGAAAAATTTCTTTTTATGTTACATACACTTCTTTTCCCCTCTCCTCTCCACCCTCCCCTTCACTATCCCTTTTTCTCTCTCAGTATCTCTTGCATCATTAACTGTATTTTTAGGACAAACCTGTAATTAAATAACAAAGTGTCCATACTTAATCTGTGGAAGAGATAAAAAACATGTCCCTGGATGATTATAAAACACTAAGAGGCAATTTAAGGACTAGAAATTAAGAACAGTGTTTTCTCTAATAAGAATGATTTTTTAAAAAGATTTTATTTATTTATTTTTAGATGGGGGGAAGGGAGGAAGAAAGAGAGGAAGAGAAACATCAATGTGTGGTTGCCTCTTGTGTGCCCCTCACCAGGGACCCAGCCCGCAACCCAGGCACGTGCCCTGACTGGGAATTGAACTGGCAACTCTTTGGTTCACAGGCTGGTGCTTAACCCACTAAGCCACACCACCCAGGGAGAATGATTTTATTGAAACAAATTTTTTATTGAACTTATTGGGTTACATTTGTAACAAAGTTATATAAGTTTCAAGTGTTCATTTCTATAATACATCATCTGTATGTGTGTTCACCATCCAAAGTCTAATCTCCTGTTACCATTTATCCAGTTTACCCTCTTCTATCTGCCCCCACCCCCAAAGATATTTTAAATGGAAACTTTAGTTTTTACTTTTATAGGTTCAGAGATTTAAAATTTTTCAAAATCCTCATTGTGCTACTGTCTGAACTAAGGAATATAAGAAATGTATGATAGAGTAGAAGTTTCCATGTAGAAGCCTAATTTGGATATTGAATACAGGAATAGAGGGAAAGAAATTATGTATCATTTTATTGGCATTATTTTTCCTGGGCCAGATGCAACAGAAAAATGGAGAGAAAAATACATAAAGTAGAAAATTTCTTTGAGCATATGAACAACTGAAATACCTTTGGGGGTAAAATATTTTACGGCTAAAATTGCAATTTTTGGCTAAAAGTGAAATTTTCCAAAATTGTAGACTTTTGGTATATTAGCTAAATGCTGTAACTAATAATTAACTCACAATTATGTTAAATATTATAGACCTAGTTAGATGAATTCATTAAATTCTTAACTTAAAAGTTCAATGTTCTTTAAATTTTAATTTAAAATATCTAGGTTGAATAACTAAGCATAGATTGATTTTCCAATTATATTTCAAAAGATAATAAGCCACTTCCTTCACATAAATTTATCAAGCAAGAAAAAAAGGAAATAACAGTCATAAAGAAAAAACATAACATGAACCATGATCATGAGTCTTATTTTTTAAAATTGTGATTCTTTTAAAACTATTCTAAGCATAATTTTACTTTATATTTTTTGCCTCACTAATGTATGTATTACAAAACTTTACATATGTGTTAACAAATTTAGCTTTTCTTTTTTAATGGTGCATATTTATTTTCAAAAATGTTAAGTTATATTCAACAACGACAAATAACCTAGTTAAAATGGGAAAAGGAGTTGACTAGGCATTTCAATAAAGAAGATGTACAAATGGCCTATAAACACATAAAAAGATATTCACCATCATTAGTGCTAGGGAAATAAAAATCAAAAGCACAATGAGATACCACTTCACACCTATTAGGATAGCTATTACTTTAAAAAAACATGTAAAATAAGCATTGGTGAGGATATGGAGATATTTGAACACTTGTACTTTGCTGGTGGAAATGTAAAAGGGTATAGCTTCTGTAGAAAACACTGTAACAGTTTCTAGATAATGGTGATGATTACACATCATTGGAAATGTGCTTAGTATACCACTGAATTATACACTAAAAATGGTTTAATTGGTAATTTTTATGTTATGCGTATTTTGCCACAATTAAAAAAACAAACAAAAAAATCAAGTAATAAAGCAAATGACAAAGAAGAGATCAACAAATTGCTTCAAACCCAGCTTTCTAGAAAGAACCCATGATAATACTTCACAGTAATTCTAATACTTTATTCTGTGCTTTAAACTTTTTGTTATTTCAGAAATTTTCTCTATAAAAAATAGTATAGATAATAATGTAAACAACACTTATGAGCATAGACATGTTGATTTGTTTTATTGGAGCTATGACCTTGGCATGAGCAGGAGTACTTTGTGTCTGCAAAGTTAATTAGCATGTGTGGTATTTAAACATGGAATTGTGGCCTTGTCTAAGATGATGTAACCAAACCAAGTTAGACATAAAAATGGTCACTAAATGAAATTGGAAACAATGAAAAACCACAGGTTTCATCATTAAATGTATCTGAGGTAAGCATCATCATTCTCTGTTTATGTTATTTGATAGTACTATTTTATTTTACTTTAGTCTGATCCTAAATGTTATTGTAAATGTTTTTCTTTTATTCTATTTCAAATGTTTCTGGATATAGTATTATAAAAGAATATACTTTTATAGATTGCTAGAATATGTTTTGTTTAGAAAAGATGTAGTAACATCAGTTGAATAACTAGGTGTAAATTACATAAAGGTTAGAAAATCAAGAGACTTTTTTTTCAGTTTGAACTCCATCATTATCTTTCTTGTAACCTTGTACTAAAACACTGTCATTAACATCATTACCTTTCTTGTAACTTTAGATTACAACACCATCATTAAAGCACAAATAGCAGTTGCCTATTTTACATATTTTCTATGAAGGCAAAGTTAATATAAAGAGTTGGAATGTCCAATAAAATGACCAAAATGCAATTATTATTTGTCTCCCTTTCCTTACCTCCTCAATTTTTTAAATAAAATTTCTCTGATGAACTCTAAGTTCATTTGGAATCAGAGAAAACACCCAACATCTGGAATCAGAGAAGAAAAAAAAAACAACAAATGAAAAACTTCATTGAGAGGAAAGGATCTGAACTGAGCCCTAAAAGACAGGATTTGCAAAGGCTGAGGTCAGGGATGTAGGGAGAGTAGGGACTCTGCCCCCTTTCCCATTCGCTGGGCATTATACTATGCGCTTTATAACCTTTCTTTGCATTCATCATGACAGCTCTGTTAGGTCACAGAACTAGTATTTGCCAAATCAGGGGTTTAAACTCTTATCTAATCCCAAAGTCATTCTTATTTCCACACTATGCTGCTGCTTTGAGAATTACAGGTTCCATTATTTTGTATCTTGCCTGGTTACATGTTTCTAAATATCCCATTAGTTTTTAATGACTAATTTTGGGTTTTGCTGATTTTTTCCTCTTAATTTCTCTGAATTGTATCCTTGCCTCTTAAGTTTTACTGATTTCTGTCCTTTCATCATTTTTAAAAATTCTCTCCCAAGGATATGTTCACTGATTTTAGAGAAAGGAAGAGACAGAGAGAAACATTGCTAGGTTGTCTCCCATTAGTGCCCCGACTGGGAATAAACCAGTAACCCTGGCATGTGCCCTGATGAGGAATTGAACCCACAACATTTTGGTGCACAGGATGATGGTCCAACCAACTGAACCACCTGGCCAGGGCTGTCCTTTCATAATTTAACTCAGTGTAGTGTCTTCGCTGGGGTCTCTCTTCTGGATTCAACAGATTGCCACTTTGGCACTTGGGAGATTGGCTAATTATAATGGTGAGCTACCAGGCACAGTTGTGAAAAGCGACATTCTTTTACAGCTTGTTTATTCAATGGCAGAATAGGATGTAAGAATTTTTAAAAAAATAAGTTATGCTTTTGACTTAAAAAATTGATAGTTTGGGATATTTGCAAGCTTGTAGGTCTTAGTATTAAGATGTTAATACACCTTCAGTTCTTTGAACTGAACATAATATCTTTACGGCATTCTACTTTGAGGTTGATATGTAGATTTTTTCCATTATTATTAATATAAAGAGAAAACAGATTTTGAAAGTGTAATGGAATCATACATAAAGCAGTATTTCTGTGAATAGAATTATTAAAATTATGGGATCAGTCTCAGGTATATAAAGCCTTAGGCAAACAAAAGTTGTTTACAGAAATCTTTATACACAGGTGAAATTTGGTTAATGGCAATGGTAAGAAACTGCTTTAAAGCAAGGAGGAGAGAAGCATCCAAAAGGAAAGAGAATGTATTTAATGGAAGTTTTGATAAAGCATTTTTACTGAGTATGCACACATGTCAGGCCTTTTAAGGGTCATGTAAGAGTGCCCCAGTATTTTTTCTCCTTCTGTCTGATTTCACTCTATGTTTTGGTACAGCACCACTTAACAGTACCTAACAGTATTTAAGGACCTTCCTAAAGGTAGGACCTTGGACTGTTCATTCCATTCTGCTAGTTTGTCATAATGTAGGACTGTATCTTTCTTGACATATCTTTAAAGTTACACTCCTATTTGTCTAACCAAAGGACAAACAATCCAATTAAAAATTGGCAAAGGACTTGAATAGACATTTATCCAAAGAAGATGTACACATGGCCAACAAACATGCAAAGATGTTCAACAGCATTAGTCAATAGGAAATACAAATCAAAACCATAATGAGATAACATGTTACCTGCAAGGATGGCCATAATAAAAAAAATAAAAGGAAAATAACAAATGTTAGTAAAGATGTGGAGAAATTGGACCCCTCATACATTGCTGTAGAAATGTAGAATGGTACAGCTGCTTGGAACAGCTTGGCAATTCCTCAGTAAGTTAAAACATTACTACCATACGACCCAGCCACTCTACTCCTAGTTATAATATTTCCAAAAGAATTGAAAATGGGTGTTCAAACAAAACTTGTACACAACTGTTCATAGCAGCATTATTCACAATAGCCAAAAGATGAGTGGATAAACAAAATGTTATATATTCATGCAGTGGAATATTATCAGTCATCAACAGGATCAAGTACTGATATATGCTACAACATGGATGAACCTTAAAAATGTTATGCAAAGAGGAAGACACCAGACACAAAGGCTACATATTATATAATGCCATTGACACAAAATATACAGAATATGCAAATTCATAGAGACAGATGCAAAACATGGAAATCCATTGATACAGAAAGAGATTAGTGGTGGTCCAGGGCCAGGCGAGAGGGGAATGAGGAGTGATTGTTTAACACATAAGGGATTTCTTTTTGGGGTGATAAAAATATTCTGAAACTAGAAAGATGATTGCACAACATTGTGAAAGTACTAAATGTCACTAAATTGTATACTTTAAAATGGTTAAAATGGTAAATTTTATAACATATATTTTACCAGAAATTTAAAAAGTAAACACAAATCATAATAGTTGAAAAATGTGTCTCATTTTTATGAATTGGAGAGTCATTTACTAATGATTGTCTTATTTCTATAAGAAGTCACAGAAATTTTGTTTTTCTTGTAGGTATTCCTTCTATCATCAAATACTGTTAGACTTTCTTCTTCCTGGACTCTTATCTCTATCCTTTGAGGGCAGAGTATGCTTTGGCATCCCACATAGAAGGTTCTTTTTTTTTTTTTTTTTTTTTTTTTACCACAAATAGGCCTTTTTATTTATCACCATTAAAAGTCTGAATTTTAAACAGATTCTTGCACTGGGGGTTCATATCCATCAGCTGGTTCAACTTTAGCACCTGTCTCATCCCCAGTAGCTTTTCCAGAACTGCTGCCTTCACCATGAAGCTCCATGAGTTTTCCCAATTCAAACTTGGGCTTCTTCAGCATTTTGACTTTTCTAACAAAGACATCATGAAGTGGATAAATTGACTGACAAGCCATTTCTATGTCTTTTCCAATGCCTTTTCTGGAATCAATTTATTGACCACTTCCTTCAAGTCATTTGTCTGCACCTCTCGGGTCATGATTTCCATCATCTTCTTCCGGATTTGGCGGACCTGTTGGTGCTGAGCATAAGAGGTCTTCCGAATCTGATTGTTGCGTTTTTTAGTAAAACCAACACAAAACAGATGAAGCAAATACCCATCGGTAGTCTTGACATCAACATGAGCTTCAATCATGGTCTGCCATTTTTTGACCATGGAGCACATTTTGTCACGGGTAAGATCCATGCCGTGGAAATTAGGCAGTTTATGCCCTGGACATCCTCAGTAATAAGCTTGAATTTTCTAAATGCAACTTCATCATTCTGCAGGTCAGCTAGGCTCACTTCAAACACACGACCCTTCAGACCATCCGATGTGATTTTGGTTCCTTGAGTTCTCGTGACTAGTGTTTTTCCAATATTTCGGATATTGAACATAGCTGGTGCTTTCACATCATACCAATCTTCCTTAGAAAATGGATCAACCACTTTCTTCTTTGCTCCCTTTTTGCCGCCTTTTGTAAGGCGCTTGTTCTCACCCACCGCCATGGTGCTGCTCAGGGAGCCAAAAAGGCTAGAAGGTTCTTAATAGAAGTTTTTTAAATGTGAATGATGTTCACATTTAGTTGTAAAGAAAAAAAATATTAGGGCAGAAAAGTGATAAGAAAGTGAGAATGTGATGCATTATTCACAACTGTCTATTTCCTTTATCTACCAGTTTTTTTAAAACTCATTTCTCATAGGAGATTTAATATCTATTTATGAGGCACAAAGTCCTTTGGTGTTGCTTTTGTTTGTTTGTTTTAAAGGAAATTCCTTTGGTGAGAAATGGGAGAGAAGAGAGGAATTTGGGGAAGCAGAAATTAGGAGAAAGGAGGAATGAGATCAGAAAGTGTGAAGTATTTGTACTGGAGTTAGTAATGACTATTAATACACAATAAGTTGTCCGTAAATTTGAAAATTATATAATATAAAAAGTCAAATTAGCTTAAAGTAATGATAAGGAATGTATCACCATTATTTTTCCATGACTATAAGAAAATAATCCTTGGAAAGCTACTTTAAAACTCTCATTTTTACAATAATTAGTAGCTAATTTGGTTACTGGCCTATAAAATTAGACTTTACAACAAATATTTTAATAAATACATGTTCCATTTAAGAAACTAAAAAAATATATAAAATAAAAAAATCATTACTAAATAGCCTGTTTCTTATATCATCAATGTATATCAGGTTTTGAAATATAAGGTTAAAAATATACTTGGTGTATTTTCTCTCTCATATACATTTTTTGTATTTTAATATTTTAGTCTAAGTAAATAGAATGCTTTTAAAACAGGTGCTGTGCTACCCAGTCACTTTTTAGTAGTCACTGTAATGAAGTAGAAATAGAATAGGGGAATAACTGGGTTGTATTAATGAAAGGAAGAGTTAGGAGACCAGTACTGTATCATTATGTGAACCATACAATGACAGTGAGTGTTACAGCCAAATACTTCGTAGACATTTAATTTTCTTAGCTACATGAAGAAAATCATGTTTCAGCTTTTTTAAATTTCTTAATCTAATAAAAATTTATGTATAGAAAATGTTATAAATATAAAGCATTACTTAAAAAATTCACATAATGGCAAGTCATTCATATTTACCTTTCTAAAAAAGCATTTCTACAAAGAAATAAATAGTGTGTCCCATTGTTTGGCTTGTTTATTTGCCAGAAAAAGTTTTAAAATGCATCATGAATGTTTTTTCTTTATATTTATTTGTCTCAAAACATGGTGGTTATTTCGGGATAACTTAGAACACCAGAAAGATTAGTTGAGGTCATGAAAGGCCTACCAGGCTTAGAGACTGAGGGCAAGTAAAGGAAACAAATTTGTCAGTTGCCAGTTTAGTTGCACATGCTAACAATCCAAGAGTTCCCATGGGTCAAACAAATACCTTTAGTGTAATACAGATACATAAAAGTCTTATTATTTTATAGATTTTTTAAAGGAAATACAGTTTGCAGGAAATATTTTATATGTACATATTTTAGAATAAAATATTTGAAATGTAAAAAAAGATTCACATTGTTTTTGTTTGGTTACTGAACAAAAGCAATGGATCACCGAAAAATAAAAATGATGTTGCAGGATGTTTTTCTTTTGTGTATAAAAGCTGTTGAGCTTAATTATATTAATGTGATTTTTTACACTGCTTTTGGTCTATTTTAACTTTTTGTTATATAAGGGCTCAACTCACTTTGAGTTTTGTCTATTTTATCCTTGTGGTATTTCTACAAGAAAGCAGCTGCCTTTGTGTTATAAGTAATTAGTAAACACTCTCCTCAATTAGCTAAGGCAATAGTTGATTGTGGAGCACTGGATATGCTAGTGATATGCTTGGAAGATTTTGACCCTAGAGTCAAAGAGGCTGCAGCCTGGGCACTTGGGAATATTACAGGACATAATGCAGGCAATGGAGCATATTTTAAACTAGGATTATTAAAGTTTATATTTATTAGGTAAATCTGACTTTGTTTAGTAAAGTAGAGGTGAGTTTTTAATGATGTTTCTATATATTATTGGAGATAAGCTCTGAATGATGCCCAAATTGTTTGGATTACAAACTCATAAAAACATCTATACATTCCAGTCTTTATCTTAGTTAGCAGAAGAGAAATTTGTAGATGGAAAGAGAAGGTGCGGGGTGGGAAATGGGATGAATGACATATTAATTCTCAAAGACTTTGGCAAATTTGTTCAGTTGAAAAATTAGTTTGTTTCCCCTCAGGGTACATTGAGTCTTCACTCTTACTTATAATATAGGGTATTCCAAATCAGTCAGAGACCATGTCATATAAGTGACTGATGTTCAAAACATATGGACATAACTTTCTAGGACAGGTTTGTATTTGGCCCATATTGGGCAGGGAGGAAGAGAAAAAGAAGGACCACCTTTGCTTATAAACTGACAGCTCAGTTCCAGGACCTCTTGTGCAAAGGTTGTGCTGACACACCTCATCAGTAAAAAATACACAGGGAACAAAATTGCCCCCACAACTTTATAGAAATTACTAAGTAATATGAACAAATAACACAACAACACTATGCAGTTTAACATATGTAAAAATTATCTACTTTGCTAGTAATCAAGAACTGTAGATTAAAACATCATTGTAAATATCTTCCCCCCTTTTTATTACTTGGGGTTGGGGAAGAGTAAAACAGAAATAGAGCCAAGTGGCTAGGGACACTGTAGTGTTAGAGAGGACCAGAATTTGAGTCCAAGTTCTATCACTTAGTTGCTATGTGACATTGGATATCGCTTTTAAACTTTCTGAACCTTTACTTCCTCATCTGCGAAAAAGAACTCAGAGATTTATTTAGATGTTCTAAGTAGCTACCTTAGAGATTTGTTGCGAGGATGATGAGATAATGCATGTGAAGCACTTAGAACAGTGCTTGACACATTGTAAATATTCAAAAAAAGAAAGATATTAGTATTAACATTGATGGTTAGAAAGGACATGATAATGTTTTTACCCATTGATGGAGACACTACAAATTGTATAAATTTGTAAAAAGTTGTTTGGTAAAACTAAGTCACAAAAGAGTTTATGGTTACTCTAAAAGGCCTTCTTGGAGGATTGCTCCTAAGGAAATAATTCCACAGAATGAAAAACTATATTCATGCAAATGTTATTATAACATTATTTGTAATAACAAAACCCCTCAAATATCTGGCAGGAATGTAGAGGATAAATTATGGTAGTTTACTTAATGGACTTTCACTCAGCAAATTAAAAAGGCAACTATAATCCCATGTGGTAACATGGAGAAGTGATTATAATGTAAAAAAGAACAAAATAACATATTACAATTATCATAATATAAAAATAAGTTTTTATGTGAACAAAAATTACAAAAAGATACATGTTTGTGTTACTGGGGTGATAAAATTAAGGATATTTTTCTTCATTTTCCAAATTTTCTTCCTTTACTTTTTTTTGAAGGCTAGCTTTTTAAAAAAGTCTTTATTGTGTTTTTTTCCCATTACCATTTAGTCCCCTTATACTCCTCTCACTCCAGCAATCACCACACTCTTGTCCATGAGTCCTTTTTCCTTTTTGCTCAGTCCCTCCACCCCCAAACTTCCCTTCCCCCTGAGCTGTCATCTGTTCTCCATCTATGAGTCTGTTTCTGTTTTGCTTGTTAGTTAAGTGTGTTCATTAGATTCCACATATGAGTGAAATCATATGGTATTTGTCTTTCTCTGACTGGCTTATTTCACTTAGCATAATGTTTTCCAGGTCCATCCATACTGTTGCAAAGGGTAAAATTTTCTTCTTATTTATGGCCGAGTAGAATTCCACTTTGTAAATGTCCTATAGTTGTTTTATCCACTCATCTATTGATGGACACTTGGGCTGCTTCTATATATTGTTGATTATAAATAATGCTTACATTCTTTCAAATTAGTGTTTTGGGTTCTTTTGGATTTATTCCCAGAAGTGGGATTGCGGGGTCAAAAGGCAGATCCATTTTTAATTTTTTGAGGTATCTCCATACTGCTTCCCACCGTGGCTGCAACAATCTGTATTCCTACCAACAGTGCAAAAGAGTCTCCACATCCTCACCAGCCCTTGCTGTTTGTTGTTTTATTGGTGATAGCCATTCTGAAATGTATGAGATGGTATCTCATTGTGGTTTTAATTTGCATTTCTCTGATGATTAGTGACATTGATCATCTTTTCATATGTATATTGGCCATGTATATATCCTCTTTGGATAAATGTCTATTCAAGTCCTTTGCCCATTTTTTAATTGGGTTCTTTGTTTTTTTGGTGTTGAGTTTTGTTAAGTTCTTTAAAACTAATGGATATTAACCCCTTATAAGATGTATTGGTAAATATATTCTCCGAGTCTGTGGATTGTCTTTTTATTTTGTTGATGATTTCCTTTGCTGTGCAAAAACTTTTTAGATTAATGTAGTCCCATTTATTTATTTTTTTCTTTTGTTTCCCTTGCCTGGGGAGATATATCCGGAAAAAAATTGTTATCAGCAATATCCAAAATTTTGCTGCCTATGTTTTCTTCTAGGATTTTTATGGTTTCAGGTCTAACACTTAAGTCTTTGATCCATTTTGAATTTACTGTTGTGTATGGTGTAAGAAGGTGGTCTAGCTCCATTTCTCTGCATGTATCTGACCAATTTTCCCAACATCATTTATTAAATAAACTCTCTTTAGCCCATTGTATGTGCTTGCTTCCCTGTTGAATATTAATTGAAAATAAAGGTGTGGGTTTATCTGGGCTCTCTATTCCGTTCCATTGATCTATGTGTCTGTTTTAATGCCAGTACCAGGCTGTTTTGATTACTATGGCCTTGTAGTATAGTTTGACATTAGGTAGCATGATTTCTCCAACTTTGTTCTTTCTCAGGATCGCTATTGCTATGTGGGGCTTTTTGTGGTTCCATATATATTTTTGAGATATTCTAGTTCTATGAAAGATATCATTGGAATCTTGATAGGAATGTTGCATTGAATTATAGATCACTTTGGGTAGTATGGACATTTAAATGATGTTAATTCTTCCTATCCATGAACACAGTTTGTACCTCTACTTATTTGTATCTTCTTAAATTTCTTTCTTCAGTTTCTTATAATTTTCTGAGTATGGGTCTTTTATATCCTTGATTAGGTTTATTCCTAGGTATTTTGTAAGCATATTTTATTGATTATGCTATTATAGTTGTCAGGAATGTTGGCATGTAATTTTCTTTCTTTGTAATATCTTTATGTGGTTTTGGAATTATGGTAATGCTGGCCTTGTAAAATAAGTTTGGGAGCCTTCCCTTCTCTTGGATTTTATGAAATATTTTGAGAAGGAGAGCTGTTATTGCTTTTCAAAATGTTTGGTAAAATTGACCCGTGAAGCCATCTGGCCCAGGGCTTTTGTTGGCTGGGAGTTTTTTGATTACTGCTTCAGTTTCATTAAGTGTAATAAGTCTATTCAGATTCTCTGATACTTCCTAATTTATTTTTGTAAGATTGTATGTTTCTAGGAATTTATTCATTTCACCCAGGCTTCCCAGTTTGTTGGCATACAGTTGTTCATAGTATTTTCTTGTATTCTTTTGTATTTTCTTGGTGTGAGTTGTTATTTCTCCTCTTTCATTTCTGATTTTATTTACTTGGTTCCTTTCTCTCTTTTTTTTTTTCTTGGTTAAAGGTTTGTCAATCTTGTTTTCTTTTCAAAGAACCAGATCCTGGATTCATTGACCTTTTGTATCATTTTTTTAGACTCTATTTCATTTATTTCTGCTCTGATCTTTATTATTTCCTTCCTTCTACTCACTCTGTGCTTTGTTTGTTGTTCTTTTTCAAGTTCCTTTAAGTGTAAAGTTAGATTGTTTATTTGAGCTTTTACTTGTTTTTTGAGATAAGCCTGTAATGCTATGAGTTTTCCTCTTAGGATTGCTTTCCTAGTGCCTCACAGATTTTCGATTGTAGTGTCTTCAGTTTTAATTTGTTTTAAGGTGTCTTTTGATTTCTTCCTTGACCTTGTTGTTGACCCACTTGTTTAATAACATGTTATTTAGCTTCCATGTCTTTCATGGTTCTTCTTGTGATTGGTTTCTAATTTCATAGCATTGTGGTCAGAGAAGATGGTTAATGTGATTTCAAACCTCTTAAATCTATTGAGACTTGTTTTGTGTCCTAACATGTGGTCTATCCTAGAAAAAATTCCATGTACATTTGAAAAGTATGTATAGTCTGCTGTTTTGGGGTGAAATGCTCTGAAGATATCAATTAAATCCACTTAATGTAGTATGTCATTTAAGGCCACTGTATCCTTGTTGATTTTCTGCCTGGAAGATCTATGCATTGAAGTCAATGGGGTGTTAAAATCCCCAAACATGACTGTATTTCTGTCAGTCTCACCCTTTTTGTCTATCAATATTGCTTTACATATTTAGGTGCTCCCATGTTGAGTGCATAAATGATTACTAGGGTTATATCCTCCCTTTATCATTATGTAGTGTCCTTCTTTGTCTCTTATTATAGCCTTGGTTTTAAAGTCTCTTTTGTCATATATAAGTACTGTTACCCCAGCTTTTTTTCATTTCCATATGCATGAAATATCTTTTTCCATTCCTTTACTTTTAGTCTTCGTATATCTTTCGATCTGAGATGGGTCTCTTGGGCTCAGCACATCTTGGGTCTTGTTTTCTTATCCATTCAGCTACCCTATGTCTTTTGGTCAGAGCATTTAAGACATTTACATTTAAGGTGATTATTGATAGATAAGTATTTAGTGCCATTTTATTGTTAGACTGTTTTTCTCTGCTTTTTTTTTTCTCTTTCTTTTTCTTTTTAAAGCAAGCCCTTTAACATTTGTTGCAGTACTGGTTCGGTGTTAACAAACTCCTTTAGCTTTTTCTTGTCTGTGAAGCTCCTTATTTCTCCT